CTCTGCCCAACAACGAGTAAACTTGGATCCAAGAACACCGCTATACCTCTATCGCCGCTAACAAGGCGGACGATTCGAATTGCCCGCAGCCTTGTCTCGACTCATCCTGCTCTTCTCTTTCACCCTTTTCTGCTCTCTATTCGCACCCTCTTCCCACGTGTCTAGTTCCACCAGTTTCTTGCTACGATTGTTGTTAAACGGGATCGAGTTTGATACGTGTGAATCAACTTGTAAATAACGTTGAAAATAAAAAAGAAATTCGATGTAAAAGTGGTTGGTTGGTTGGATGATGGTCGAGTTTGTAGAGATGGTTTCTAGAGGTGTTGAGAATACGAAAATGTCGGTTGAGGTTTGTTCATTAAGTCATGAGTGACGATTGAAAGTTTAAGTTGGATGAAGAGAGAATTCATATTCTGATATATACATTTGTATATCCGTCGTTAGAATTGGCTACAATGTTTCATAAATTATGTAATGGATAACTTGTGTATTGTGAATTTAGTATTAGTATGGTCTATTATAAATCAATACAATTCAATGTATTCTAATTAATGCCTTGTATAATAAATGTGTATATTGGAAATATACAAATTATACAATTGTACAATTATATTATAATGTACAATTATTATATTATACAATTATTATTATATTTAAATTATACAAATATGCAATTAGATTAGAATTAGAATTTATTGAAGTTTCAATTCAAAATAATTATATATATATTATTTTTTCCTTTGAAACTTATAGAATCATAGAATTTGAATCTAATCTGTCAACGTATTTGATTTCAGTCACTTCAGTTTTAATTTAGGAAGCAGAGTATCTTCCTCCCATGTTCTTAATCGTTACGTTCTTGCACCTCGCTTAGACCTTCCAAGATCTTCCTCGTTTAGAGGCTATCGTTCGATGCTCTTGTCGTTTGACCACCCTCTGTTTTCTTTGGCACAACTTTGGACCAGATCCCTTCTTCAGAAGTAAACAGAGTTTCATGAGAGTTTAGGTGTAAGTTTGTTGACTCGTGACTTCGTGACTATGAGTAGGCTCGAATTTGGACGATCTTTGAAAGAAGTATTTTAATAAATATTTTCCAACGACGAATTGTAATAGCTTCATTAGTTTGTAGAAATAAATTTTATTAGCTAATTGAAATCATGGGTTGAATTCATTTGAACACGAGAAAATTCACTGTTAAATATTTTTTACTAATTAATTCAAAGTTCTGTCGTTCTTTTACACTTTTACAAATACAGGAATGGAAAAAAGAAAATTTTAAAATATTTTCTTCGATAGATTTATTTCAAAGACGTTTTCGTAATTGTTTCATCGTTAAAAGAAGAGTAGAAAGAAGTTGTTCGAACAAGTTCCTCGATGATATAAATTAGAATAATGTTGTAAATATAAAAATCCAACGAATCAGCGATAAACAATGGCCAAAATGGGCGATCGTGTTTGCAAAGATGTCCGTTTAGAAGTTGGCGAATCGTTTCCTTCGAAGTTTGGCCGCGTGACGCATATGTGCAAACTTATCAAAGTTTGAGATTGGAACGGGGAACTTCATAAACGTCTCCCGGTCTTGGTCTTCGAAATTTCTGACAGCCAAGACAAACGTGGCGCCCCGGCGACATGCCCTTGGAACGAGACTCAACTCTTTCCCCCGCGATTCTTCTGCATCGAATCACCGTGAAATCACGCTCGATTCGCCGTGATAAGTGTGGCTCATTGGAAGAAGAAGGGTGGAAGAAGCTTTCGAAGAGGATGATCGAACGAAAACTTCATCTTTGTAAGCTCCAAGTTTTTCTCCACTCTTCTCGCGCGATTAATTCATGAATATTTGTCATTTTGGTTTAATTTTTCTCTTTTTTTTTCATTTTAAATGGGACATTTATTAGATATAATATAAGTTTCTTAAAAAAAAAAAAAAGAATCTAAAATAAGATCGAAAGAAAGATTACGTCAAAAAGAATTTTTTAATCCTAAAACGTTATAAAGTACGTTGTTGATTTATAACAAGAAGAAGCTTTCGAAGAGGATGATGGAACGAATATTTGTTATTTTGATTTAAATTTCTTTTTTTTTAAATAGAAAATATCTTTTAAATATAAGTACTATGAATTTCTTAAAAAAAAGGAAAGAATCTAAAATAGGATCGAAAGAAAGATTACGTCAAAAAAAATTTTTTAATCCTAAAACATTATAAAGTACATTGTTGATTTATAACAAAAAGAAGTTTTCGAAGAGGATGATCGAACGAAAAATTCATCTTTGTAAACTGCAAGTTTTTCTCTTGTTGCAACAATTGCACTCGTCATGAATATTTTCACGTTTGTCATTTTGATTTAATTTTCTTTTTTTTTAAATAGAAAACATCTCTTAAATATTAGATACTATGAATTTATATAAAAGAAAAAAAAAAAAAAGAAAGAATCTGAAAATAAAAATAGAATCGAAAGAAAGATTGCGCGTCAGAAAGAATTTTTTAATCGTAAAATGTCATAAAGTACGTTTTCGATTTATAATGATCCATGCACATAAGCCGTATATTTTCAATGATATTTACACGAAAAGCGATAGATGGGGTGGATATAAGCGCGACGAATAAAAGTAAACAGCGCGTGAAATTTAACATTTAACCGTTTAATACGCGCGTCGCAATATCGCGTGAACGTTGTTAAACTTTTATGGTGA